CTAATCTTCTCCCTACATGACTTCACAACATCTTTATAGTCCTCCCAAGGTAATTTACCCTCTATCTGTTTGTTTTCCCCAAAGTTCCAGCCTAAGTTTTCTGTTTAATCAGGCTGGTCTTTTTCCCTGACCACTCGTCTTTCAACCACGTAGGGATGGGCTGCTCTTGAATATTTCTCAATTCCTTTTTAAAGTGTATCCAGCCTTCCTGGACCCCTTTGCCTTTCAGGACTGAACACAGTTCAGTGTTCTAAACAACGCCAAGGTTTGCCTACTAGGAGTCCAAGGTGGAAATTCTGATGCCCCTCTTTACTTCACCCACTGTTGAAAATTCTGACATTTCATGGTCCCTTTGCCCAAGACTGCCACCAGCTACCACATCACCTACCAGTCCTCTGTTCACAAGCAACAGGTCTACCAGGACACCTCCTCCAGTAAGCTCTCTTACAGTTGTGTTAGGAGGTTGTCTTCCAAACACTCCAGAAACTTCCTAGGTTCCTTCCTCTCTGTTGTGTTGTATTACCAGCAGACATTTGGCAAGTTGAAGGGCTGGAAACCATGAGACTTCTACCAGCTGCTTGTAGAACACCTCATCTGCCTGTTTGTCATGGCTGGGTGTTTTATAACAGCCTTCCACCATGAGATCCTTCCTGCTAACCTCCCCCCTGACTTTCTGCCATCATGACATCAAATTCCATTTCTACTTGAAATGCGTCAGGAAAATCATGGTGCAGGCACAAAAAACTTGTTAGACTGTATGTTGCCATCCTGCATACATCCAGCCTTCTATAAAGGCAGCTCCAGCTGCAGGCGTCTTCCCCTGGGAACACTCCTCCTTAGAGCAACCTTTTCCTGGGAATACTCCTTCTTAGAGTCATTCACTGTCAGCAGTGTGAGAACTTTCCAGACAGGGCTTTTACTGGAATTACACTGCCAAATCCATAGCAATCAATAAACTGATTGTGTGATTTTCCTTTCTTTGGAGTTGATGTAATCCTCAGGCCCACGCCTATTTCCATGGCAGGTTGTTCCTCAGTTTTGCTTACATAATGCTCCTCTATTTCAAAAGTCACACAAAACTGTTACAAGATGCTCTTGTGTGGTAAACAGTAGAGGGTTAATCTCCATTTCTAGCCTGCCCATCCATCTAAATTTTAGAAATTGAGGCTGCATTCCTTCTAGGAATCTGCTCTCATGTGAAAGAACAGGATGTCCATCGATTGATGCACTTCAGTTGCAATTTTCTAAGAACTGGTAATGTTTGTCTATCTGTTTGCAACTAAAGTGCCTTTTTTTACATACCTGCTATGCATTGCACAATTACTTCATAAGTTTCATTACCTCATTCACCACTACACTTTGGCACAGGCAAAGTTAGAATAGTCCCTGCCCTGTCTCTCAGCTGGATTACATTATTTGGAGGTTTTTGCCTTTACTGTACTTTACTAGCCTTTACTGTATGTATATAATTGTTTAGGCCATTTGCAGTTGTAGAAGTGTGGAAACAGGATTTCTGCCTTCTTATTTATACTTTTTCCCCTCCTGCAGCTCAAGCAGGTTTGCTGCAGTTGGATTTCATAAAGCTCTGACAGAGGAGCTGTCTGCCCTGGGAAAGGATGGAATAAAAACAACGTGTCTTTGTCCAGTTTTTATAAACACTGGATTTGTCAAAAACCCCACTACAAGGTAACTCCCAATACTCTGCATTCCTGTACTTCCTTCTTTGCATCAAGGCACTGCATAGTATCCCTGGCTTTAGGCCTCGATTCCAACTGTAGCTATATAACAACAGTGTGTATCATTGGCTAAAGAAAATCTGCAGTGTCCTTTAACCCATGTAATTGTTGCATTTGAATTACCTGAGTTTGTGCATTTGTGAAGCCTCCTAGATCAGCTGGTACCACCCCTTCTTACCACTGCAGCTCTTATGTGTTTGCTTTCCTGTGTAGGCTTGGAAAGATTTTGGAGGTTGAAGAAGTTGTAGAGGCTCTGATGGAAGGAATAGTAACCAACCAGAAAATGGTTTTTGTTCCACCACAGCTAAACATTGCTTTGCTTTCTGAAATGTAAGTACAAAGGAAAATGAAACAATGGTTGTGGAAACAACAATATCACATGAGTACACAAGGTTCAAACTTGTGACTTCTAAGTCAGCAGAAGTTCCACAAAGAGCTGAGGACCTGCTGCTTATTAGTGTTTATTTCTTCATGTCAACACTCGGGCCAGAGAGGCTAAGAACGTTCCTTCAAACGGGCTCTACTGCTCTCTGCTATGTAAAGCAAGATTTATCCTCTCAACACAACTGTCCAGTGCAGTTGCTCTGTTGAGGAGGTGTTTTTGCCAGAGCTCCAGTTCCAAATCTGGAATTCATATCCAAAGAACTAAATTAGCTTCTCAGTTAAATCCTACAGTATCTCATTAAACACCTGGTAGTTTCTTGTTTGCTAAACCAAACACCAGACTGTGGGAAAAGTAATTTAAATCTTTTTGCAACTCCAAGAGCTGCTTGTTGAGAGTGCAAGTCTACAAAAGCATAGGCAAGTCAAAACTGATGCTGTCAAAGCACTTTGCTTTTTTTGTCACCATTTAGGACAGGGGGATGAAGAGACAAAGCTATTTAAGAGAAGCAATCTTAGGAGTGGGAACTGCACCTCAGTTTTAACATCTCATCCTTCCACAGGCCCACTGCTTTTCAGAGCATGAAATGTAATACACACCTACCTCTGTACAATATTGAACCTTCTTGCATCCTGCAGCAATATTGCAGTTCACATACTGCCCATAGATATCTGACATTGGAACTGTCCTAAAAGGCTGGGACTGGACTTCAATTAGCCAGAGATTGGTGAGAGCTATGGAAATAATGCCCAATTTAATACTTACTCTCAGTTCATATGTGTGTGTGCATGCTGCTCCCACACCAGCTCTTCTGTCACCTGCAGTGCCACTTTTTCCCATAATTTAAGTTTCTATCCCACTTCTAATTTCATGGTATTATCTCTTTCAGGGTCTTTCCAGAACGCGCTTTGAACCTCCTGAAGAAGATGACCACTCCAAAGTTTGATGCAGTCATTGGGCAGAGAAGCACCCAGTGAAAAGCAAGAAGTGATTCTCATTTCCCAGAGGCACCAGTGAAAACAGAACATGTGCTGAGCATAGTTCAGCTGGCTTGATTCAGATCAGAGCTCAGGCAAGTGCTTCCAGGCCACTGTTCCCACCTAAGGGCTTATCCCACACCTGCAGCTGGAACACACCAGCTTAACAGGGAGTGTTAGCAAAGCAGAGATGCAGCTCTAGAAGGGCTGCTTTGACTGTACATCCCATCACTTCTGTCTCATTGTGCTGAGGCAGACAGGAATTTCCACAAAGCCTGTGTTCGGGACAGCACAGCTGCCTAGTTGAGTGCAAAGGGATTGCCTGAGAGCATGTTAATCTGCACTCATTCCTGAGCAAAAGCATCTTGCAAGAAGCAACTTATAGAGGAGGTGGGTAGCCTGTTTCATCTCACTTATTAATTTTAAGTTTGAAAACTGTGCTCTAATGAGCACTTACAGTTTTGTGTGTATTTGTAATGAGAATTATTTAATTAATTATTTGTATTATTGAAATAATAGTCTTGTTTTTAATGTAATGACTAATTACAACATTTATCAATTATGCATTAGCACCATCAACACTCCATATTACAAATAAATACATTTTTCTAACCCAAACGTGTCTCTCAGCAATGAAAGTGGCAACCAGGTCCAGGCAAAGACAGTGGAGCATGTGCCCCAATGTTGAAAGGATCAGAGTCTGCCAAATATCAGCCTATGCTGCAGGGATGAGCCAGTCCCCTAGCACACAGGGAAGCCACGTCAGGATCAGTGAGGTACAGGGCCAGGCAATGCAGCCCATGCACAGGCCAAGGCTTAAAGGCAGTGCCAGGGCTGGGGGTGCATAGGAAGGCTCCAGTTTAGCCTTCACACAGCTCCTCAACACAAGCCAGGGGCCTGCTCTGATGGCACAGGAGGTGAAACCCCTGAAGGTGTTTGGCCCAGGGTCCAAGAGAGCAGCAGCAGCAGCTGCTGACACATGGGTCAAAGACCCCTCCAGAGCACAGAGGATCTGTGCACCCACTTGTGCAACTCCCACCCACAGCAGGCACTGCTGGCCCGCAGCCATCCCAGGCAGGCCTGAATGCGCTGCCACCTTCAGCACAGTTGGAATCTGTCCTGTTCACCTGAGCCTTTCAAGTTATTCTGTAAAGTAGGTTCTTCAGAAAAGTGAGAGCATTCACCCTCCTGCTCTTAGCTGGTAACAAGTAGCAGCAATGTTGACAGCTTAAGTAACAGACAACTGTTTTCCATTTTGCCCATGGAACATTGATGGCAATGTTCCATGGGCAAAACATTGGACGCTTCGCAGTTTCAGCTCTTGCGCTTCACAGTGCAAGATTCCTGCAGCTGAGACAGGAAAGGAAAAGGGTTCACAAAACTCAGGACATAAAAAAAAGGTTATAAGCCAATCAAAGAATACTTAGGCATGGTTTCCAAGCCAAAATGTGGAGGATTGCATCCTTGCTTCTTTTTGAGCTGCATATTGCCCTCTTGCTACTATGACACTCCTGTCACACATGAGACGCTTGAAGCCACATCTGCGTGACTTTTTGATTATGTTCACTTCCTCCTGTTCTTACCTAGTGAGGAGTAAAAAAAGTCTAAAAATTCAGATGTTTCAAAAATTCAAAAGACCTGTCAGAGCAAGAAGCACACCAGCCAAAATGTTTGTACCTAGCGTTCACAGGAACATAAGGGCTAAATCAATGCTTTACTGATTTGTAACAACTTGGCAGTTGTCTCTTGTATGTCTGGCAAGCATGCTTAACTTCCCACTGAGCTTAGCCTCTCCCGGTACCCACTTCCCACATTTCTTCTATTCCATGACTTGAATCCTTGCTCAAAGGAAAGTCCAGTGACTCCACAGAAAAAAGCTTAAAAAGACCCCGGAGAAAAGAAGGACTGCTTTCAATAGGACACATCAGACAAGATCCTTGCCTTCTCATGGTATACCATCCCCACTAGTCCTGTGTATCATTCAGATTTTGATGGCAGGATTAAATTGGAAGTCAAAAATCCATCCAAGGGATGACAGCACTCTTCAGTAGAGTCTGTTTTTTAGCACACTTGCTCCTAAGGAAGGGGAGACTATATTGGCTCCTGCTTTGACAGATCTAGTCCAGGGTCTCAGAGCCCAGAGGAATTACTGGGCAAGGCAACTCATGCAGAACTCTGTGTGTGGCTGTGGTTCTGTTCTGTGTCTTCTAAGGCTGCACATCTCCTGTTGGCATAAAGAAACATATGCAAAAGCAAGGACTTTCAGCTTTTATCTCCTGAACACCAGTAAGAGTCAGAACTGAGTCACCAAGCCTCCCAGGCTTCTCAGTTCTTTCTGGCCACAACACTCAACTGGATCTTAGCCCAAACTCTGGTCACACATGGGTGCCCAGCAGGAGTCCATGTGAGCAGGTTTCACGCAGCCACCTACAGCTAAGTCCCAAATTTGAAGAGTGGTACCTCACACCCTGGCCTAAGCACTCCTTATGAGTCAGGGTAGTGACTCTGGCCCTGTGCTCTGCCTCCTGCTGAGGTGTCTCTTGGAGCTGGTGCTTCCATGCCCTCCCTGCCTCCTCTTCCTTGGCCCCAGCACTGACTGGAGCCCTGTGCCAGGAAAATGACAGCACCGCTGACTCGTGCAATTGGGGTCTGGCCCGAACACTGATGTGTTAATTAGGCAGAGAACCAAGTTCCAAGAGAAGAGTAGGAAGTGCCTAGCTCGGAATCTCTGTGCTGGAATGGATCCAGTCTCTCACTACAAGGTGAGCTGCAGCGAAACCACCAGGACAAAAATAATACTTTTCAGAAACTGTAATCTTGACTGAATGCAATTTTGGTCAGTTGTTAAATGTTCACCAAGCAGCTCAAAAATATCCTTAAATAAAATGATGAACATGACTGTGATACATCAGGTTTTCTAACTGAAAAACAAAGGAATAAGGTCAGCAATCCTTTTCAGGAAGGGCCATGCAGTTACATTGACAGAGCTGGGAGAAACACCTGAAAGTACTTTCCTTCTATTTCCTATAAGCATTCCTGTTCTGATTAAGGTTCTGGATACTCCCTTGCATAGAAGTGATTCCAACTGTGAGTTGTGTTTAGACTAAATTAGATTAAAATTTATGCAATTTAATGCCATTTTTCAAAGGACTTAAGGAAGCTAAGCAGCTGCAGCATAAGATCGAAGGTCTGAGTATGGATAACTAAATAAAAGACATAGTAAGACAAACAGCTAGGCAAGGGCTCACCTGTGGAGTTCCAGAAGTTAAAAGGACTTGTTTCATTCAGCTTTTCTTAAGGTACCTGGAAAAGGATGGTGGGGAACAAAGCCTGCTGACAATGCACAGAGATGCAATGAAGAAAGGATTATGAAGAAAACTGCTCAAGGACCTCATAGCAGTGAGCAGCTAGACAAGCACAAAACACAAAAAATGAAAAGAATTACAATACAGAGTTGAATGGAACTTCAAGATGCTTTTGTCAGAAACTGGATGAGCACTTTTATTGCCACTTCCATCCGTTTTCTGTCCCTTTTCCACCTGCAACAAGTAACAAACAAGAACGTGTTTTGCTGCCTCCTTAATGTAAGGTCTTGAGAGAGGGACAGGAAGGCACTGCCACCTGTGTGGGAAAAAACAAAGCAGAGAATGAACAGTCGGGGTGACTGAAAAATTAAACCCAAGGGCAAAACACAGAGGGTTTGCACACCTTTATAGTCCGTGTTTTCCTCAGTCAAGAGGGCAGAAAAGTCCCTGAAAGCCACATTTCTTTACCCACGCCCGGCACGTCCTGTCAGCTGCAGGGCGAATATGGTTCTGCGGGGACAGGTTGGAGTGCGGTGTGCAGCTCCTCCGCACCGCTCCTCAGCTCCAGCACGGCAAGAGCAGCACAGGGAACAGCAGCACGGCAAGAGCAGCCCAGGGACAGCGGGAGGTCAGCGTGGGTCAGCTGGGCGGAGCAGCCGCCGGTACGGGCGGTGCGGGGGTGGATCCTGCGGGAGCGGACGGGACCGGCAGTGCGCACTGCGAAGGGCGGAGGATAAAGCAACAACCCCTTAAAAGAGATTAAAGTTCAGTTCGGCCCTCAAAAGAGTTCCGGGGAAACAATGAATCTGATTCTGGAGGTTCTCCTGTTCCTGGCTACGCTCCTCTACTCTTACCTGGAGGCTTTTGTGAAGCTGTTCGTGCCGGTGAGGAGAAAGTCTCTCAGTGGGGAGCTGGTGCTCATCACGGGCGCTGGCCATGGCGTCGGGAGAGCGACCGCCTTGGAGTTCGCCAAGCGCCAGAGCAGGCTTGTTCTGTGGGACACCAATAAGGTAATGGCACACTCGCGTCCTCACTCCGGAACCTCCGAGTCCACGGGGGATTTAGGGACGTAAGAAGGGCAGCACCACATTGCACCTCGGTCGCCTCCTTCCAGCTCGCTCCCATCGGCTCCCGCTCGGCTCCTCTGGCTGGGATGCTGAGCGCCAGGAGCGGCTTTGGCCCCACTTGCAGCAGAGGATGTGGGGCTCTGGTCCCACAGGCACTCGGTGCTACTCGGGAGGGAGCAGGCAGCAGCCGGCAGAGCACCTGCGAGAGGGAGAGAAGTGTTCAGGAAGCTGCTGGTGGATGTGCTGCCTGAGCTGGCAGAGAAAGCTCGTTGAGACCAGAAGGCAGGGAAGAGCAGGTTTGCCTTCACTTGTTCTCTCTGTGGCCTCGGGTGTTTGTGTGCATTGCTGGGAGATGTGTTTTCTCTGCACTCCCATTAGCAGCATCGCTGTGCCGGGCTGTGGGTGAGCCCGGCTGCCCTCTGGGCAGCTACACGCATAGATGGCACCTCTCGAAATGGTTACACTGGCCCAAACTCTTTATTTCAGATGATTTGACTGGAATGCAAAACAAGCCGTGGCAAGCGGAGGATGGGCAGATAACAAAGATGCAGCATGGCATTCAGAAGGGATCCAGGGCAAGTTTTGGGTGTAGCTGCAACAAGGAGGGTGAAAGGCTCTGCTTCCTGTTTCTGACACGCTGGGTCAGCAAAGAAGTTAATTGTGTCATCCTGAAGCTGCAAGACAGACCCCAGCACAGGGCTCCACTGGCACAGCCTTCTGGCACCTGGGGACAAGAACAACAGCAAAATCACTCCTGCCCTAGCCGAGTGAGCTGATGCAATGACAGAGGGAAGCTTCTGTTCTGTGTGTGTCAAGTGCAATTCTGTAAGAAAGTCTCTTTGCACTGTGCACTGTTGTGGTGGGTTGACGTTGGCTGTACGCCAGGTGCCCACCAAACTGCTCATCACCCCCTTTTCTCAGCTGCACTGGGCAGAGGAAATAACATGGGAAACAATTACTTGTACGGTGAGATAAAGCAGTTTGCTAAAGCAAAGCTGAAAAGTTGTGCTCAGAGAAGCAAAGAGGAAAAAAATATTCTCTACTTCCTATCAGCAAGAGATTACCGCCCACATGTTGGGAAGTGCTTGCTCTGGAAGGCAAACGTTGGAAATACCGGATGCCCCTCCTCTTCTTCCTCCTTTTCTTGGCTTTTATATCTGAGCTGTCATCATATAATATGGACTATCTCTTCAGTCAGTTTTGCTCTGCATTCCTAATTGTGTCTCCTTCCAGCCTCTACCGATGGGGTGGGAAATGTTTGGAACACAGCACTGATGCTGCGCCAGCACTGCTCAGCCGCAGCCAAAAAAGGGGTTATCAACCCCTTCCTAGCAACCAGTGCAAAGTACAGCACTGTGAGGGTGCTGTGGGGAAATCAATTCCGTCTTGGCCAGACCCGATACAACTATGGCTCTTCTCACACCCAGCATGTGAATACAGAAACACATTAGAAGCACTCTCCACACCTCAGGGTGTCAGCCAGGCCTGTGTTGCATGAGCTCTCTTTACACTCACAGTACTGCCTGCTGTGCTGTGATAGGCACTGTGTGCCCTCTTTCTGCTTGCTACGTGTGCCTTACCAAGCCAAACTCACTCTTGTTTCCACATTCCTTAGGCTAAGAGAATTGGGATTGCTCAGCCTGGAAAACTGATGTCTTTGGAGTGACCTAATTGTGATCTTCCAGTATGTGAAGGGAGCTTACAAAAAGATGGAGAGAGAGGATTTCCAAGAGCATGTAGGGACAGGACAGAGGGGAAATTGTTTCAAACCAAAAGAGAGATGGTTTAGATTGGATATAAGGAAGAAATTTGTTACTGTGAGAATGGTAAGGTACTGGAACAGGCTGCCTAGAGATGTTATAGATGCCTCATCCCTGGAATGTTCAAGGCCAGATTGAATGGAGCTCTGGGAACTTGGTCTAGTGTCCTGCCCATTGCAAGGGGGGGTTGGAACTGTATAATCTTTATAATCATTAAGGTCCGTTCCAACTCAAACCATTTTATGATTTTCCAATTTCCTTTCTGGTAGTCACTCTACACAGGTCCAAAATTTCCAGCTGGATTACATATGCTCTCAACAACCCCACCTACAGCTCCTTCCCTGGGTAGCTGTGAACTGTTCTGGGGCTGGGCAGTGGTTGCTCCATCCAGGGACATCTTCAGCCTCTGCTGCTCAGCCATGGTGAGGAGACAGCTGTGCACAGTGTCTTTCTCTTTGCCTCTTCCAGCACGGCGTTGAGGAGACGGCAGCAGAATGCCAGAAGCTGGGAGCCACTGTTCAAACCTTTGTGGTGGACTGCAGCAAACGGGAGGAGATCAACAGCACTGCAGACAAGGTGGGGCAGCAGGGGCATGGCCAAAGGCTTTCCCAACCCTGCTTGATTTCCAGAGAAGGCAGTAGAACTAAAGAAGATGCGTTGTACACAAATCCTGCAAGCCCTTGGAAGCTCCCCACTCCTTGCTGCTCTCTGGACACAGAGTGCTGCTGCATTTCCAAGATTTGGGAGGCTCCAGCATATCACATCCTGTTGCCAGGTTTGCTCTCCAGGGCTCCAGCCTCTGAAGGAACATAGCACTGAGGACATATGAATCATTTCATTGTAGTGGCTGTGGTCCAGCTGCCTCAAAACAGTCTGTACCCCCGTGGTCCCAACTGTGACTACACAGTCCAAAGTGTGCACAGTTTGTGGAACACAATAGATACCGGCATTAATTAAAGGAGAAGAATCAGATCTAAACCAGATTGCATAGCTTTACTGCAAAGTTCCTGTCCTGCCACATCTGGAAATGTGGCCTGATTTTCCTCTCCCTTAAAGATGCATTGTTAAGAATTAAATTAATTATGGCTCATCTTCCCCACCTTTACAAATTTCCGCCCCCCGCCCTGAGTGACAGACACAATTTTGAGCTTTTGTTTTCTCTCCAAAAGGTGAAGAAGGATATTGGGGATGTGACTATCCTGGTGAACAACGCTGGTGTTATTACAGCTGCCGACTTTCTCTCGACTCAGGACCACCAGATAGAAAGGATGTTTGAAGTCAACATTCTTGGTCACATGTGGGTAAGGGCCACCAGCACCTATAGCTACAGTTTTTTGGGAATGTCATAGTCCCAAGGAGGAATATTTAGACATAATTAGACCAACTGCTATTAGCAGTGAATTACCAAATGAACTGTGTAGCCCAGGGGCACCCAAGCAGACTGTGTGCTGGGAAACTGGAATGGCCTCTTGCTGATGTGAGCTGGCTGGTGACAGCCTCATCTGCAGCACACACTGGCCTCTGTCAGAGGTGTCGTGGGGCTGACAGGGTGTGAGCTTTCAGCAATAATTGTTTGTGGCAGAAGAAAAGAGAAGCCACAGCCTGACAAGTGGTTTATTGTAGGTGCTAGGGGTAAGACCCTGCCAGCATTTCTGCTGACACCTGAAACCTTAAAAGCAGCAAAGGAAAGATGTGAAAACCAGCTCCTGTTTATAGACAGCTGCTGAAACCTTTGGAGAGCAGGTTGCCAGCTGCACCACTGGTCAGAAAGCAGGTATCCCTGTGGCTCTGGGAATCTCAGGTGCTGTGCGACTCGTAGCTTTAGAGATAGCTTTGGCCACCTAGTGAATGACATTGAGGGTCAGTGCTGAGTATGTCTAAGAAAACAATGTTCTTTTCCTCCTTCCTGTCCCCTGTGTTTTTGCCTCTTGGTTTAAATTGCTTCCAAGACCACGAGAGCTTTTCTGCCAGTCATGATGAACAACAACTACGGGCACATTGTCACGGTGGCTTCGGCAGCAGGTCATTTTGTGACTCCTTTCATGGTGACTTATTGGTAAGTGATTTTGAAATCAGCTTGCTTAATTTTTAAAAATTGTAATTTTGTCTTCTCGTTCACGAAGTACCAAGTTACTAGCTCTGACTGAACCCTGAGCAATGTTTGTATGAAAGAACAGTCATATGACTATTTTCTTTGGAATTTATTTAAACTTAAGCACCACACCTATTTCTATGGGAGGACATTCCTTAAGTTTTGCTTGCGTAATGGTCCTTTATTTCAAAGCACACAAAATTGATTTGAGGTGCTCCTGTGTGGTTCAGTAAACAGTAGAGGGTTAATCTCCATTTCTACCCTGCCCATCCTTCTTAATTTTAGTCATTCAGGCTGCATTCCTTTAAAAAATCCTCTCTCATGGGAAAAATGGGATGTGCATCTGTTGACACACGCTAGTTAATATTTTCTAAGATTTCCTGATGTTTTCCTCTATGTTTTTTCTGCCTGTTCACACCCTGTCTGCTTTCCACAACTACTCCACAAGTTTCAACATCTTATCCATCACTACACTCTGGCACAGGCAAAGTTAGAATAGTCCCTGCCCTGTCTCTCAGCTGGATTACATTATTTAGAGGTTTTTGCATCCTAGCCTTTAATGTATGTATATGATTGCTTAGACCATTTGCAGTTGTAGAAGTGTGGAAACAGGATTTCTGCCTTCTCATTTATACTTTTTCCCCTCCTGCAGCTCAAGCAAG